GAAGTGTTTCCTAGAGGACAAACGATTGACGAGGTGTTCAACGGCGAATCTTTCAAATAAAAGGTACTTGAAAACTAGTATCACCTCAAATCAGTTAATCAGAATCAATCAGTTGCCCGCCTACGTCAACTCTCGGTTCCACTCCAGCGATTTCACGTTCTCTTGAACTCTCTCTTCAAAGTTCTTTGCATCTTTCCTTCACAGTACTTGTTTGCTATCGAATTCGCGTGATGAAGTTTATCACCCACTTTAGGCTGCTACTTTCAAGCAGCCCGACTCTAAGGTATGATCGTACAGCTTTGCTCCACTGCATCCGCCGACAGGTTCTCGCACCTCTCGGGAATATGGCCCTATCAATGGATTGGAGATGTAGAACCTAAAAAACGGCACTATTCAACTATTACTACCCCAGATTTCCGGAAACGGGCCGGATTTTGATCGACTTTTTTCTACGGGGGTGGATTTGGCTGAAAGTTGGGTTCTAGGGGTAATTCGACCTCCTGAACACGAATATCACATCCGCTCCTCTCGAAACCGCCTGGCGCCCGCGCCACAGGCGCCGGCGCCAAAGTACCCTAGATCACGAAATCCGCTGAAAACTTGTACCTAGGGGTAGTTTGACCTCCTAATCACGAATATCACATTTTCTCGGCTTGAAACCGCTCCGCTTCCGCGCTACGGCCCCGGCGCCAACAATTGCCCCAAATCACTGGCCTGCCCTATTCGGGGCGGGGCGCCAGGCAATTTCAGGCCAAGTGGATGTGATATTCGTGTTCAGGAGGTCGAATTACCCCTAGAACCCAACTTTCAGCCAAATCCACCCCCGTAGAAAAAAGTCGATCAAGATCCGGCCTGTTTTCGCAAAACTGGGGTAGTAATAGTTGAATAGTGCCGAAATTGATTATCAGTATACCAGTTTGCGCTGGCCCCATTACTGCGCGCTGACTTGAGAGTAGGTGCCGAAAAGGTTTATTACAAAAAAATCAGTGTGAATTGGTTTTCTTTCTCTCTTCGGTTTAATTTCTTTGCTTTTTTTTCAAATGACTTGTCGATCCAAGGCATAGAACTCTCCAAGTGGCCTGCTTTTATGTGTCATTGTGTTTCGATGGACACTTTTCGCTTAGCCATCTTCATGAGGTCATCACACTATCTATTTACTTTTTCCCCATTGTAATACGTCCGATCCGGTTTTCCAATTAGTTTTTCAATGGTAATACCCACTTTCAAGCTCTGCTACTTCGTATAGCAATCGTAGCATGAAATTGTCCAAGCTTTCCAATTACAATCAAACAGAAAAAATTTTATTGAGAATCGCGTGAAAAATTCAAAGAAAAGTCTAAGAAAAAAGTGGGATATAAGAATCAGTAAAAGAAGATCCAGTGAACTTGTTTCCCTTGCGAATGATGACAACTGATACATGAACTTGATTTTCTGGTCCTGATGCATTCTTCCAGATTTCTTCAAAATTTAATCTTAGAGATTTCAAAAACACGCCAACTTTATTGAACGACTGTCCCTGAGCTTTATTGATTGTCATTGCGAAAGCTACTCGCACAGGAAACTGCCGACGACGAAGCTTGAAAGGGGCTCTCTGGTCCCAGTAGTTGTCTATCCTGGGAATTATAGCTAGCTGGTTCCTTCGCTCACCACAAATAAATCTGCAAGCTAACGTGAAGCGCCCGAGTGTTTCAACCTTGAGGCGTGTCCCGTTGCACAGTCCGTTTTCTACGTCCAAGTTTCTCAGCAACATTACTATTGCCCCTTTTTTCAAATGTAACACATGCGGGGGCATTCCGTCGCTTGGAAGTGCACGGGAATTTAGATACTCCAGCTGGAACAGTTGTCGTGGCTGCCCCTCCGGGTAAATGGCCTCATCGACGCTCTTGTAGATGCGTTCATCTTCTGGCGTGCCGATTCTGAGACGTTGAAGTGTGTCGTCGTTTAACGGTGAACGTGCACATTTTTCGGTGCCAATATTGCATTTTCGCAGAGGTTAGAGGTAGTTGACGGATCGATACTATCACCAAAGATCTCAGTGACAATATCCGTTGTACAAATCATCTCTTGTGGGATGGCTGTGCGGCCATCTTCGTCATTCGCCTCTCCATTACCGATTTCCAAAAAAACCCCCGGGTTCGGTTTTTCTCTCCCAATCATTGCCCAGCTTCTTGCGCTCTCATATTCACTTCAAGCCTGTGAACGCGAAATAACGGCCATAGAAATGATTTCATAACACAGGATCCGACAATGTCCTCTCTCTGGCCGTGTTCAACAACAGGTAAGATCTGTCGGAAGTCACCGCCAATCACCATGACTTTACCTCCAAAAGGCGCATCCATCTGCATCACATCTCTCAGGAGTGCATCAACCGCTTCAAGAGCTGCCTTCGGGGCCATGGAGATTTCATCCCATACTATCATATCCGTCTCCATGAGCTGCTCAGCTTCTCGTTGTTGCCGTCTCATTGAAGGAGGATCGATTACCGTCACCGATATTTAACTTGAACACTGAGTTGACAGTTCGTCCTCCCGGGAGCAGGTTAGCTGCAATGCCTGTCCAAGCCTACACATAAAACTTTCCGCCGCATCCCAACAGCAATGTTATAAATGGTGCTGTATAAGTACGTCTTGCCGCTGCCGCCGGGACCATCAATAAAGATGTATCTGTTCTGGGATCTTTCCAAAGCACCAAGAATATCGTCGGCAGCTTCCTTCTGTTTAGTGTTGAGTGTTTCATACTGGCTCAGTCCAATTCTCTCATAAGCTGTGTAATCGACTGACATTGCTGGTGCAGATGGGCGTTCTGCGGTGGGCGGAGTTAGGATTTGCCTTTAGATCTTTGCCCATCACAGCAGCTCGATCGAAGATGTCAAAATACGCAAAAGCGATAGCGCGTTCCGGATCAAATCCCTGTCGTATGTAATCATCCGACATCATATCAGCAAACTCATCCCACAAATCTTGAGCATGTAGTACCTCACAAAAGCACATGAGACAGGCAAAAAAACTCCTCATCGTTGCTGCAGACTGGTAATGAGCTGCTTCCTGCAAACTCTGCCGAAAATACCTATCGTCGTCTAGAAACCCAGCAGCTTTCGCTGCATCGGCGAAAGACTCGTAGGTTGTGCCATCCACTGTCCGCATGTCTTCGAAGGACGTCTTCCTTTGAGTTGAGCAGGAAGTATTCGCAGGCAATATCGTTCTGTCTCTAGAGGTGAGACTGTGAACATCCTACCGATTTGTTTGCCTCCACGCTTCCTCGGTGTCCATCCACGTCGAGCCCATCAAACGTGTGAAGTGCTCCGGTAGTTGATAGTAGTAAAGATTTCGAGCATCGACTGTGAAATCAGTGGACGGACCGTTTTCGAAAATCTGCTCACACCGCCTGTTCAGCTCAAAAAATGCTGTCAAGGTTGTAAAAGATCGCTGCGCCTGCTCAAGATATTGTTGCTCTCGACCATGAACAAAGTGGACTGTTTGAAACCCTGGCAGGTGTACTGCTAGCCTGTACACTGTATGCGACTTGTCCTGCATGTTGTAGCCGAATATTCGATAGATGCTCTGTGGGGCGCATACGTACCGGGTGTTGAGATGCTGCTTAATTTCATCAACGTTCTCGTTCGCGTCCACGTTTCCTTCACTTTCAATGGCGATACGCGCACGATCGGGACCCTTATATATGTATTTGTATAGGTACTTCACAGCCGAAACCATACCGCATATTTCCAAGTTGATATGGCAATCGTACTTCAGAAGAAGATAAGGATTCGTCGGAACTACCCACTCATCGCTGTAAGGAATCCCATTGATTTCAGTTGGTGAAAGGTTACGCCGTCGATAATTAGGATAACGTCAACATCCACAGAAGTCCTATCGCGGAGTTGCTTGGGGAATTTCTTAGAACATGAGCCGCCTCGCATGCATGGTGAACGTGGATCCATAGGTCCACATTGTCGATGAATCATATACGATGTCATCGCAGAATAGAGCTCAGATTCGGTTTCTCTGCTTGGGATCTCAGGCGCAGAGGCTTATAGTCCCACAATCTTCGGCCGTGCGCAACTTTCCAACCTTCTTTCATTTGATAAGAAGCATAGTATGCGTCTCAGTGCGCGTTAAACCCACGCTTTTGGAATTCGATGACGTGCACATATGCTTCCACCTCTCCTAGGACATGTTTCTTGAAGAGATCGTCACAAAGTTCCTGTAATTTTGCGTGAAATACACGTGCCACCAAATCAGGACGATCTGATGGTGTCTGGCCTTGGAAGAGGTTTTCTCGTATTTCCTTCCACTGAGGGTTACATGTAATCGTGAGAAAATAGGTTGGTTTCCCGTAGCGTGCCACGAATCCCATTGGGCGTCCTGATAGGCCTGCTGCATTGCACGTGGACTGCCCAGATGCGATGATGACAAGCACGACACGGTTCCCAGGCGGTCCGGAAATGTCATCTCTCGCCAAATAATCTTGCAGTCCTATTCTCTATCTAAGGGCACCATCGCGGTCTGCAAAAATGACTTGCAATCCCGAGTATTGCCCGCCGTCCCAACAAAGAACAACTGAGCGGCTCTCCGTCAGAGGGCAGCTAGCAAGTGAGGCGGTCCAACTGAGCGGGCGTTAGAACTAGAACTTTGAGCGGCTGTAGCTCGCTCTCACTGTGGAGTTGCGAGAGTGGGACAGCATCTAGCTTGGGGGCTGAACTACCTGCACAAGGAAGGACGACCATGACTACTCGAGCGCGGGGCTGTCTTTAAGCTGAGAGGGTAAAAGCGGCCCTGGTGGCGTAACGGATAGCGCACTCGCCGTGAGGTGCGGGTTCGACTCCCGCCTGGGGCACGACTTTTGCCCACAACTCAGCATTCTTGTGATAACATTCGGAACGCGTACTGCGGCGTTAAACAGCAGTTATCTTAATAAAACAGCTTCAAAACAGTCAGGTGCGTTGCTGGGTGTGCGGCAGCGCAGGCGGAGTCAATGAACGGCAGTGCCCTCCACCTTCCCATGCCTTTTTGATCGGAAAAAGTGGCGCGCTACTGCAGGTGTCCTCTTCCCCTAAGGAGCAGGATCCACGGACGTTCGCACAAAGTTACTTGATAGGTGTAGGGGCACGACATCGATCAAGATTTCTCCTTGTTCTAGTGAAAAGAATTACCGTTGCAAGGGCGTTTGTTAACGCTGTCATCAAGCGTATCGTATTGGGATCGATGGATTTCGGCTTGACCTTTCCACGACATCCGATGGTAATAAGGGAGCGAACTGCAGACTCCTTAATATGGTTGGAGGCCACCATGGCATGAGAAGCTGAAAAGCGCAGTGATCACTAGTGCGTCATTATTTCTGAATGTGTGTAGTCTCGTTCGCTGCGGATGCTATGTCGTATCGGGGCTGGGTTTTGCGAGACGGTTCCCCACTAATTGTTGTCGCCTGCCTTCTTCAAGAATTGGTGGGCGCGGAGCTAAACTCAGCCTGACACGCCCCAGTATCCGCACGAACAAGATACGCTGCATGCTTACAAGATGGATGCTTGACATGTAGGAGGCGGACAGATCCACAGCTTAAGGCCTGCCACTTTCGTCACTCGAAATCACGTGGAACGAAAGTTAGATGCGTGTAATGGCTGGATAGCGTTGGGGTCTCTATCAGCTATCTCACTTGTGTCAGTACCATTGCCCTAAAGTGAGTATACCGCTAAGCTCTCAGAGATACACTACCAAAGCCGGACAACAACCGAGCGTGAGAGGTCAGAGACAAGTAGCGCGTTCGGCTATACTTAGGCATATGCTCAAACGTGCGGCACGTTGCGTGTCGCGTGGAGTCTGAATCACCTCGTACAAGGCAAAGACCAGGACTCTTGAAGATATCTCAAAGCATGTCTTGAAAAAACAAGTTCTGGATCGGAATAGCCCTAAAGAGGATCGCAAGGTTTCTGAAGAAGGTCAAACGCCCTTGTTCCCTCCCCATGACCTATACTGGTCAGCAGAACTTTGGCTTATTCTCAGGGCTCATCGTTGTCGGGAATCTCCGATAGGGGGAGGGGTCGTATTTGGCCGCCAGGAGAGGGGGGGGTCGTATTTGGGCTGGGAAAAATTTATTTTGATAGTTGATTTTTCTCGCTTCACGGACGTTGTAAAAGGGGGTCGTACTTGGTCATTGTTGGGGGGGGGGGTCGTATTTACGTTTTGGCGTTGTAGGAGTGGTGGTTGACTTTTGGTGATTTTCCTGTTTCATGCGTCAAAACAAGGGGGGGGAAGTCGTACAGACTCGACTAAAATCCCCAACCAATGATGTGCCCTGCTTATTCTTCTTATCGCGGTCTTAAGTACAATCAAGCCTTTTATCCATCTACTATCGGCCATCGTACACGCCAAAAGTAGAAGGCGTAAAGTGGGAGGTAATTATCGACGCCGAACTGAATATCCCAGTTATCTTTAGTTTGCAGGGCTTTAACAGAGGTGTACATCAACAAATTGAAAAGTGACGGGTATGGGCTCGTATCCGAGGTATGGAATGCAACCTGAAGACCTCTATGGTCCAGTTCCAGACTACGGTAGAATCGCTGCTAGACATTCAACCGCATCCACGATTAGCGAACGAGTTGGCGCATCCCGACGCGACATACATCGAAACCAAGCAAACTCTATTTTCTCAATGCCGTGCTGATATTACTAACTCCTGTAGCTTAAGCAGCACTACAGTGGGTCTACAAATTGATTACCCACAACATGTAATAGATATTTCCGATGGTGCTCGAACCACAGACTAATTTCTGTGAAAGTGAAAAAAAACAACTTTATTTACAAAAAACAACACTGTACAACAAGGATCAACAGTTTCAACCATTACCGTTTTGCCGCCAGCTTATCGTATTCACCTACTGTAGCCATAATAAATTTCATTGTTGCTTCAATTTTGCTTGCAAGTTCAAGACACAGGTCGGCTTTCTTCCTCAAAACCTAGGTAGGAGATAGAATAATAATGTAAAAAGTGATTCAAGAAATGGTATGGAATCTTACATCTAACTTCTCCGTAACAAATATTTCAGCGCGTTCGAGTTTCAATTCGGCAAATAGGTCACCACCGAGTTTGACTATGACCGTATCCTTTTTATCACTGGAAACAATTTTATCATTAAGTATCTTCGAAGCCTCAACATTTTGAATCTTTACAGTCTCGTTCGCTGCAGATGCTAGCGTGTGTCAGGGGTGGTTGACCAAACCAGCCAGCTACCAGGCGGTTTTCCAGCAACTGTTGCCGCTTGCTCTCTAACAATGAATGGAGAATGCATCTGCAGCGAACAGGACTGTACATGAGATGGACAGCAACCACAGAACCAACTTCTAAGATTCGGAAAACTCAGAAATCCATGATTCTCGTTTTCCGACGTTCTGAAACAATTTTCGAGAGTATATTATAATTCTGGGTTCACTGAAAGTGGAACTCATCCTTAAACAACACTAGTCAGGCAAATGTAGATAATGATTCCCGAATCCACCGGAATACCTTACACATCCTACAATTAGCCCCACTAATCAGCCCATATGCGTCACCAGGAGATTCAGGCTGTGGCGACCAACTAGTAACTATTTCCTATTGAGTTGACTCGGAGTACTGTAGCACTTCCTTTCCCAATCAATGAGGTAAGCCTTGAAAGACGCGCAGAGGACGCCACCTGCAACACTGCATTTGCCGCGTCGCCGCAGCGCAGATCTCTTAACCGGCACCGCTCATAATTTAAACTTCAACTAGTCATACACTGCTTACGAAAAGTTTTCGAGAGAGAGTACTGTTTCCATCCAATTCTATTGTCAACTCACAGTTCAGCATTCACGAATACTTGGTGTCCAAGTGATGCTCTGATATTGATTTTCTCGGCTTTTTTATTCTGAAAGTAAAGAAGTCATAAGAAATGCGTTTGCTATGTTAAACATAATCTAGGCGAAAATCGAAAAAGACTGGTTGCAATCTCGCTAGCGTAGTTCGCGGGCCACGCGCTAGCGCATTTGCTCCCTTCCCATATCCAAGGCTTACGCTTGGAGCGCACCCGGCCTAAGTCACACACAGTCTTGTCCACCGCGGATGAATGGGTGTGGGCAGGATGGGTTGGCGCGACCAATGCCAAACCTCGTCTTCCACCACATGTTAAAGCGAGCAATCCAGAGGACTGCATCATACGACTCGTACCTCGCTTTCCGCAAAATGTCGCTTACCCGCTCCAACTACTGGAAGACGGCTCGTCATGCCTTCCATCCTGCATCCTGCAATACTGCAACAAGAACGAAACGACAATCACCCACATACCTTCATGTTGCGTACGACGACCAGTAGTGATGCGTATTCTTGAAGTTCACGAAGAATTTCTTGCCGGCTGTTCTGCGCTTCCCTGAGTTGATTGAGCAGGTCTTCGGAGACTACCGTACGAAATCGCTCGATTGACACATCCTCCTTTCGGGACATTTCTCGTCGGGCTGAATCTTTCCCACACCTTCTGAAGTCATAAAGTTAACTTTGATAAGCAGATAAGCGGAGAGAAGGAATGCCGGTATTGATAGGATCCAATGAGATGGTCAACAAACTCATCAAGTAAATAATTTATTCGGCAAATACCAGTCAAAAAATATATACAACCCGTAGCATGGGACAAAGTGGAATTGTTCAATCATTTCCAATGTGAACATTTCAAATTCATGATGGAGATTCAGCTAGTGAACAAAAGATAGTGGAGAATTTCGATATCCACAGAGCTGATAACGCGATCCCTACATGGAATCTGCCTTCGATCGCGCTATGCACATTTAAATAGTATGACTCGTAAATCCTAACACTTTTACACTTCCAGCAATCCAACAAAGCTCAGCATTTCCGTATCCTGAAGGTAGATATGTCCATCTCAAGATCTGCTATTCGCTATGAACATCCGCTACGAAATGTGCACAGCATCTAGGGCAATACGAATCGAGTACTTTTCAATAGACGTCGCGCCTGGTAATTACATCAACACTGCTGAGAAAACTGACATTAATGAACAAAAGCAATCCAGAATTGCTCTAGTGATATATCGAGGGCTTGGCACCAAGTAGAGGTACCTTGCACTCACCTGTTGCCACGCTCAAAGACGTAAAGCCGAGTGGGACAGGTAGAGACTCACAATAATTTGCTGTACAACTGTAATCTGTGCTTTCTGCAGTGATGGTAGTCTTTCTTAAGCGAGAAAGTCGCTTTGTGGCTGTCTGCTGCCTATGTCCCCCGTCAGCATCACGCAGACTGTACTCTGCAAATTGAAAATTGTGTAACCTCATCGCAACACTGGAATCGAGCTTCGCACGTGATATCCTCTTATGTTTGCCCAAACCTTGGTGTCTGGCAATATAAGCACCATCGACAACCACTTGACTGAATCAAAAAAAGGATAAAACGAAAGGCCAAAAACGACGAACCACATTAAGACGATAAACCATGTCTTCAATATGATGAAGACCGTGCATATAGGCGCTCATGCGGAGGAACAAGTTCAGTTTTCGTTCTACCTAAAGCAGAGATGAAGTTAGAAATTGAATCAGGTCGACTAATTAAAGTGGCCACTTATCCTTGAATGACTTCATCCTTTACTACTAGTTCCGTCAGATAAACTGACACTCTTGGCACGTTACTCCTCATCCTAGTACGTTACAGATTAATTGCAACCACTACTGCAAGCAACACAACTCGCTTTCAATTTTCAATGCTCAGTTGCGCAATTGAGCAAGATGCTGAACGGCTGCGCATCATTGGCCCGCACTTCAGCGACCTAATTACGCGGGGTGCATCGAGTCAACCAGATGGGAAGCATTAGGCAATTCGAGCGAATTGCCACAACGCGAATTTCCTGACCTACTCCCAGAAGTTAAAGTGTAACAACCAAAGGTATCACACTTTATATCCCAGAATGAGAAGGGCGACACTGTAAGCGTGGCGGCGCATGCTTTTCTGGTGAGACTTTGCCGTGTCGGGACAACTGTAATCATGTCTTTCCCCAGCACAATAGCGGATGACAGTTGTCTTAAATACAAACTCCCACAAACCACCCGTTCCACATGTTCGAATGGAAAACCACAGCCACACTTTCCCACATCCAGGACATGCAGTGTACTTGATGCTGTTATTGTGTATGTAGCCGGTGGCATGCGAAAATTCCAAAAATCCCAAAAATTTAGTACAATATTAATGCGTGAATGGTTCATAAACTTACATGACAGAAACTCTGCGTATTCAGCATACTTCCACATAAGTCCGACACTATCGGCTTGAACTCCTCGCCCAACGTGTCGCATGCCGCAATCGACATCTGCAACTTCAAAAGCTAAAATGATTATGGGTACATACAGGTGGGACGTGGATTTGGGACACATCTCAAGGGGATTCCCGGATCCTTTAGGGAGTAGGTAGATCAAATTTCTTAGAAAGGAGGAGCTGTGAACAGCTCCTTTTTTCACAGCGACCTTTTCAAAGTAACTTGTGGTTGGAGGCACACTCTACGCTAATACTGATCGTATAGTCAGGCCAACCACTATGTCTTTCCTAGTGCTGCGACCCTGTTTCATAACGAGACGGTAAAGGGAAGGGGAAAAGTGAGACAGTCACGATGTCAGGCCTGACTCCGCCCATACGATCAGCGTGGTGGTGCTTTTCAGCGAGTGCTTTGCTGAGCTATCTCTCGACTTTCAAAAAGGACATACCATTAGAGTGAACGAGTAACGCATATTTAGTGGGGCGTGCAATAGTGGTTGAACAACACCAGGTGGTGGATAGTGCATATTTGGCACAGTAAAAATCAAGAATTGAAAACCTAGTTTCCTTCAGTTTCCTCCTACCACGCACGTCGCACTTTCACTATTCAGCTCTTTATAGCTTTTGTAGTGTCAGTGAACACATGATCATGGTCTAAAAGAAAATGGTCCTATCCTTCCTACACTGCCGCCGCCTCGGCACGAATCCCTCCCCTTCGATGCAAGACCGTAATTTTTTGAGTTCTATGTATGTCTCATGGTTAGGTTATAGGCTCATTCTTACTTCCAGCCTTTAAATTTATGTACACCACCATCCCAGTGTGATAAATCCGACCCTTCATTAAGATATTCTCAGCGTGGTGAACCTTAATCGGAAGTCCGGAGGCAGTGCGCACGATTGCTGGAGGAAGGCGGTTGTTGCGAGCGCCATTGGTGGAACGGCTGCTAGAAGGCGTTTGGCCATATCCCGTAACCACCAATAAATATGGCGACAACCGCCTGCCCCAGCCGTCATGCCCACTGCCTCTAAATCACATGCCGGTTCATTATCATTACGGTTCTAGTCTCATTACCCCACACCAGCTTCACGATTGCGCCTCACAGAGTGTGCGCTCACTCTTTGGTAAAGAAAGGAAACACTCGAATTTCGATGCATACCCTTGATGCTTCAGAGAAAGTTATTACGGGAATGCTGAGTTATTTGCAAAAGTTTTCAAGATTCGTAGCCGCATCTCACGCTTTCTGGGCGAATGTACTACACGTAACGGGTAATGGATATCGCACTTGCTTGGGAAGCTTGAGTGCGGCTCCGATGCAACAATAATAATAATAATAATATAATAATAATAATAATAATAATAATAATAATTATTATTATTATATTATTATTATTATTATTATTATTATTATTATTATTATTATTATTATTATTATTATTATTATTATTATTATTATTATTATTATTATTATTATTATATAATAGCAATAATAATACGGCGAGTCAAAGTACTCATCTGGAACGTTCAATCTCACAAACCTTCAAAGTGTCAGGACAATGATGACCAGCTCGTGGCAGTTTCGCATCCGAAAAAGGAGGCACTATGTAGCAAAAGCGGTGAAGCTGGAAGAAAACCTTGAGCACTTGAACCTGATTAAAATGGGAGTTCAAGTAATGGTGAGATATTGGCAAAAGTCGGACTCGGGACGGGACTCGAATCCGCATCTCCCGCTTACCGCGCATAACTTTCGGAACGCGCACTGCGGCGTTAAACAGTAGTTACCAAACCAAAACAGCTTTGGAGTTCGAGTAACTGCTAGCTTTTTCTGACGTTGTCGTGCCTCCAGCCGCAACTTTCATTAGGTCCCTAGTTCGTAGCCGCAAAGGCAGAGTGCTCACCACTCAGTGAGATTTCCATGCTCTCTGGGCAATATACCGACAAAAAGACGGCATAACAACAGGGAGCCAGGGCGCCATAGGAAGCGTTTAGATCTCACCGACATATAACCTAGAGATTGGCCGAATGATATCGTTAAATCATTTTGGCTTCGTTGTGACAGTTAAGCAAACTATACACTTAAATCCTCTCAAAAGAGAATGGAAAGAACCGCAGCACAGGTTTCGCAATAAAAAGGGGTCTCATCATGTGGCTAAATCCCGATTACTAGGAGAATAATTTGGCTCATTCTCGGTTAGCATAAGCCACCAAGCTGCAGCAATGGGAACCAGGGTAGTAATCAGGACACATCGTTGTTGGGGAATCCCCAACAGGGGGTCGTATTTGGGCTGGGAAAAATTTATTTTGATAGTTGATTTTTCTCGCTTGGACGTTGTAAAGGGGGGGTCGTACTTGGTCATTTTTGGAAGGGGGTGGGTCGTATTTTTGGCGACTTTTCCTGTTTCACATTTGCTATGTACCCCCCTCTTCCCCCCCCCCCCGCTCGACGGCTCGATTCGATGAGGAGGACAGAGGCTGGGGAGGGGGGGGGGTCGTACAGACTCGACTAAATTCCCCAACCAATGATGTGCCCTGGTAGTAATGATTGTCTGCTCCGAACAACCGTAGCGATAACCTTAGCGATAATGGGAAATAAATATTTCGATTCATTACTCTACCTGCATAATAAGCTGATGCCGTAGAAGGGCCACGATAACTTTCGCCTTATTCTGTTGATCGGCAAGCGGCTGACGAGAATTCAAGTAATCGCCAAGGGTACACGGTGGATCGAACTGTGCCAATGCATCCGCAAGATGAAACGAAGAGCCAAATTGTTGTGAGAATATCGAAATATATCTGGAATGTACGAAACAGTAAAATAGGCCACTGTACTGACTGTAGTAGAGTGACATGGCCGAGACTATTGCCAAGGATACGTAGCATAGAGTGTCACAGTATATTTCAAATTCGAATTTTACGACATGTCAACTCACAGATTTAAGGGACGCCTGGGTTAATTTTTTTCCGGACTTCTGAGGCGTTCTCCCCTTCAGTAGATCAC